CATCTCATAACTTGAAAGCTTTCCAGAAAAGCTTAATTTTTAGTAGCTAATGGAAAGGCAACAACATAGAGGCAGATCAGCTTCCTGAGGGAAGGCTGTTCCAAACTCTGGGTACATCAATGGCAAAATAGTTCCTGACAGTCTCTACTCTCTTACTTCAAAGAATGAGAGGCCACCAGCAGATTATTGGATGGACTAAGACCAGCTGGAGACCACAGGTAGAGTTTTTAAAGACCAAAACTATCACTTTGAATTGCACTTGGAAGCAAATAGGAACTCAGGGCAGAGTCTGGAGTACAAATATTAAATGCCCATGCCAGTGTATACCATACTGAAGCTTCAAAGTCCAAGTGGGTGACAATAAGAACATGAATTATGGTCACAGAGTCCTTGCATTCCAGGCAGGATTGCAACTGGGATATCATCCAAAGCTGGCCAGAGTCTCTTCACTCACCTGAGTGAATCTATGAATCCAGGATGACCTTACTCCTATAGTGGTGGGAAGACATCAATCAAAGTAGTACCCAAAGTGAAAATGTGATTTACATATTTATTTTTTGGGGGGAAAATGGGAGTGGAACTAAAGCTAATCATTAATAGGATCCTCCTTGGATTACTAAGCCTCTGGTATCTCCCAGAAGACATCTAGAGATTACGTTTGTCTTGTATACAAATTTTACAAGTTACTGAGCAAATTTTATATATACAGTAACATTTGTATACATGTACATATACATTGGTGTTTGTGTATTCCACTGAAGTAGCTGTTCACTGGAAAAAATAAGCTTGTTCTTTCTAATTTCACATTTAGCCATAGGTAGTCCAAATAATTTCTAAATACATCTGAAATAATTTGTCTTATTCTGGGGGTCAGAAAACCATTTCCTTTTATGATGATATACTTCCTACTCTGCTTCTGTTTCCTTATGATTGTGCCTGGCAAAACAGAGATGACAGATAATGGTAATACAAATGGTGAGAAGAAAGGAAGGAAGTGTTTACTCTTTGGACTCTCATCTGTCTCACTAATACTAATACATAATGTTGCCATACCCAAATCCATTCATCTATGAGAGCTGGAGGTCTCTTGACAACTCCTGCAGTGCATTGGTCTGTAGACCTGAATGCCCTCTTACACTATGTACCAGTGAGCCAATACACCTGGATGCCATTAGGGACAAAATGAAAGCCTATACCTGTGCATCCTCCAACACAGCCAAGGGAGGATTTACTGAGAATTTGACAGCCAAGCCAACAATTACTTTGCCAAGTTGAGCACTTTAGGAAGAAAGTGGCCAGCTCACATACAATTTTGGAAAGCCTAAGAAGGTGGGACATTCTCCTACATTCTTACTTAAACTGACCATTTAAGCTTTCTGCAATTTGATTCCTTGCAGGAGCAGGCAGGTTTCTCTGACAGTATAAGAACTTACTTTGCCTTCCTCTTCCTGTCTACTTATGATGCCTAACAGTGGAAACTGATGTGATTCAAATAATATTCTTCAAAGTATGGGCACTCTATTTTCATTACAATTAATTGTTTGAGGCTGATAGCTCAGAATATATAAAACAAATCTGAATACCAGGAAGAACTAAGTATGCTTCCTGAGTCACCAGTGCTGTACATTTTACTTTCTCTCCCACCTCTTCAGGAGCATTCCTTGGTGAAAGAAATAACGACAAAACCAGGGCAGCCTCTTGTAGAAATGGATTTCCCTAAACTGGAGCATATGCTGATTAGAGATGTATTAGAATCATTATAGTCAAGAATATGGCTCGCCTGGAAGAGTAGCTCAGTTGGAGCTGTCAGTTACATGTAACAAATGTTCTGGGTATTCATCTAATCAGAGAAATGTTTTGTTTTAAAGTGGCAGAAATCTTGGGAGTAGGTTATGAGCAGCATATCCTCCTCAACAATTTACTCAGAAAGAATCCTTCGGGAGAGAATAACTCTAAGAAATATTTGATATATGTTTCAGTTCATTGGAATTTTTTGCTAAAAAAAACCTCTTGTCTGGTGGCTTTGTTTGAGCTTCATTACATTACATATAACTTCAGAACTGCTGATACAGGGATCTGGGAAGGAGCAGAGATTTCTCTCTACTTTTACAGCTAAGAGAAACAGCCATATGTCTGTTATTTATTATTCTTTCTTAAGAATGGTTTCGTGTAAAAAGCCAGAACTTTTCATACCGCTCTTAATTCTACTGGCAAAAATATTAGTAATAGTATTGGCACATATTAGATTGTTTCCAAAAATCCTTACAAGAAAGCTTTTTAGATTTTTTGCTTTGCTCCCTCTCTCTGTTTCATTCATACCCAAGCACACATGCACGCTTTTGATGTGTGTGTGTGTGTGTGTGTGTGTGTGTGTGTGCGTGTGTGTGTTGTGTATGTATTGGTATATTTTATGTGGGATGCCCTAACCTCCTGTTTGCTCAGAGATCCAAAAGTTGTGGAAAGACCTCTGCATGGTTGTGGCCTCCTCCATTAAAAGCTTAAAGTTCAACCAGTGCTGCTGATATTGTGGTCAAAGCGAAAGAACTTATTTGATTGACTGATTCTTCTCACCGGGATGGGGGTGGGGTTGTTACTTTTTACTGGGTTTTTATTGGGTTTATATCTTTTATTGGGCTTATATCTTTGTAAGCCACCTGGATTCACTGTGAGTTAGGCAGCCCTATAAATTTTCGTAAATAGAATAAAATAATAAAAAAATAAAAGGATGGCCTTTTCATAATTATACAGTGTCCCTGGTACCCCCTACGTAGAGACAGAGAGTCTCTGCATACTATAAAACCTTGTGTTTATAATCTAGTAATAACATATCAATCAAAGTTGTGGTGGGAATGGAATGAATCTCCATTGGAGCTTGTCTAGACTAAAAAGATTTTTATATGTATGTATGTATGTATGTATGTATGTATGTATATATATTAGATTAGTATGTATGTATGTATATTAGATTAGATTAGAGTAGATTTGATTAGCATATTAGATCTGAGCATATTAAAATATTTATAGATTAAATGCTGCATTAATGGATGGATTTAATGTAGCATTTAATCTATAAATATTCTAATATGCTCAGATCTAATATGCTCAAGAACATTGGCCTTGTTTCTATACTGGCACATAAGGAAGTCCTGTGCCAATTCTAAATTAGTAAACAACTAACTCTCCAAATGAAGAATATATCAAACCAATCTGTACCAAATGACATCCCCCCCCCCACTGCTTTCTATAGTGTTGCTTTTATGTTGAATCAGAGAACTAGGGCAGGTTTCTCTGTAACTACTCCGTCTTTCCGAGAATACTGCTCAATTGTCTCTTCAAGTGGCAACCCAAATTATTTAGAAAAAAAAAAACCCCATGAATTTGGCAAATAGATTAACTTATACATTTCAAACATCCAGTTTTCCTTCTTATAAATGCCAGTATGGTTTCAACCAATTATGCATCAGTTTGTGAGCTGTTATTTTTTTTAATATAAGCAGAAACTTGTGAATTTTTATATGATTTTTTTCCTAATATGTTCATTTTGAGATGCATTTTTTCCCTGAAGTATACATTTTTGCAGGCAATCTTTCCTAATGCAACTTTTTTTCTGTGCAATGTTTTTCATCAATATGAACATTTGTATATATCCTAACATATGCATTTTTGTGCACTGCACTGTAAAATTTGGGCAAATATAGGTTTGGAAGCATGACTGGGCTTTGATTGTGCCTACTTAAAAAATATGAATTGATGAAAAATCATGTGAAATTTCAAGCTAAACTCATTTATCTCCCATCTCTAGAAAACCTAAAAAGATAAAAATATATTACTGTGTAAATAAGAATTATGGAGATCTTTACAGAGGCACCATGAAGATGATATTTTGTAAGGGAAAACAATGTTATTTAGGAAAGAAAAGCCTCTTCACAATATTGCAATTATATGCAACTCTCAATTTCATTCCAGCCTTAAGGAGAATCCCAAAACTAACCTATTGTGCACAATGTCACAATTGTTGTACATCAGAGTTGAAAGCATGGGGACTAGCCAATAGGAAACTCCTATATTTATGATGCTCTGTTGCCTTCATATGCTGCATAATTATGTTTTGTGTCTCTCCTTGGCAAACATTTGAAAGTTGTAGGCTAATTTGCAATCAGCAATATGGCACCAATGGACTCCAAAGTTCTGTGATACTAATAGCTGTTTTTTGCCAACCCCACAAATTAAATACAATTTATATTAACGTATTTAACTTAAAATAACTAAAGCTCACCAGCTCTCAAGATTTGCAGTGAGCAGATCAATATTGTTGTAATATGTTAGGGAGAGGAGCTGTCAGAAATGAGATGTCCACATTTTTCCACTTTTAGTTGAAAAAAAAAAACCCTGTGCCAAAATGCAACATTACACAAGAATGCCTGAAAAAAATTACTACCTTCAGAGCAGAGTGTACAGTGTGTTGATTCCAAAGTTTCACTGCTTTTGCCTAAAACACAGTCTCACAAAATACATTTACAGATTACAAATGTGTTGCCATGTATTTCATTGTCCTGGCAAACATTTTCTCAGTGGGAGATTCAGATTCTGCTGACTGTGAAATAATCCTTGGGGAAATTACCATAGGAAGACAATTCCAATGTAATCTCTCTTTGTACACCTGCACATCGTGAGATTAATTCCAAACATGACTTGGCAATTAAGAAACCTTATGTCAGAATTATTGTTTGCTGTCAGGATAAACAGGAAGATTGATTGATTGATTGATTGATCAAATTTATATAGCTGCCCATTTCCTCAAAGGTGACTCTGAGCAATGCATAAATTCACTTCCTCAAAAGGAAAAGGCAAGAGCTGTATCTCTCTTTATTTAAATTATGAGGAGACATTTGAAATTAAGTACCTTTTCTGCTGGCTACAAGTCACTGCAGAATGTTATTCACTATAATACTGTTCAAACATCACTTTCTTTATTAATGTGCGTTGCTTCTCTTTTACAGAGTGATGAAGTTTTGACTGTCATCAAAGCAAAAGCACAGTGGCCTGCCTGGCAACCACTAAACGTGTAAGTAGGAAGGGAGCCAACCTCCCAAAAGACTTTTTGATCATTGTCCTCTGACGGGTTGCTGTAAACTTCATGCCATCCACAAAAGTGTCTCTCTTTCTCAGATAAAAATGTGTGGATAAATGCATCTTCCAATTCATATTTCTGTCTAACAATATTTGCAGGAGACCAAGTTATGGGAGGGCACTGGGTTAGGTGTTAGTGATGCAGCAATAAATCTAGGTATATATTTCCCATTGTCTTGAACTTTTCTTGAGGACCAGGGATATATCTAATAGCTAATACAGTTCCTGCTTGCTTACAAGTAAGCCAAATTTAATTTGATGGAAAATGAAAAAGTAAGCTAGTTTGAATCAGGGCTGCCTTGGAAACTCCAGTTGTGAGAAGAAATGGGACTCCAATGGAAGAGAATAGATGTAGCTCAGAATTGTACTGTGAAGTCTTTGATGCTTTCTGAACGTGGCTGTTTGCTTCCAGATCTTTTATTATCCAACTAGGTTACATCATCAGTGTGAGTGAGGGTGTGGTTGCCCCCTAGCTTGACCTGCCAGTGTTGGTAAGAGTGTTTTGTCTTTGGTAGTTCCTGATTTAGGGATGTTCTAATCTTTTTGTTTTCTTCTAATTCAAAGCTGCTAGGGGATTCCTGGAAGCTTGGAATTTAGATGAATCAGCCATCAACAGACACATAGAAACAAACCATAGTTACACACCATTCAAAAGAGGCAATAAAAAGCTAAAAAGGAAATGCATTGTCTGCAAGCAAACAACCAAGGTCAGAGAGCATCAAGGACTCCACCAAAATAGGATTCTCCTATTCCTTAGAAAGCTACACCTATATTAACATATGACATGGCACCTTCCATTTAAATAAGGCAAGCAGGTTGTTAAAATACAACAATTTCTTACAACAGGAAAGCAACAATATTATTCTTTTCTTATAACTCCAAAGAATTATTGCCTAGACCAGGGGTCTGCAACCTTGACAACTTTATGACTTGTGGACTTTAGCTCCCAGAATTCCTCAGCCAACATAGCTGGCTGAGGAATTCTGGGAGCTGAAATCCACAAGTCTTAAAGTTATCAAGATTGCAGACCCCTGTCCTAGACTTACCTGAATGCATTACTGGCTGTATCTCTCAAGATTTTTATTGCTTGTCTAAGTTCTATATCTGTTCCACCACCTCTGGAGCTTTAGAGCCTTATAAATTGCAGCTCTGTCCAGGAGAATCTGAGACCCATAATTTACAGTTAAATGAGACCACCAATTAAAACATTTCAGTCACTTGTCCTATTTTGGAACTCTACTTTTTTCTCTTAAGGATCACTTTCTGTGAAAGTTTTCTTTTAAAAAAAATAATATGCAAACTTTCTAGAGTATAAGTCTATATAGCAGGGGTGTCAAACTGCGGGCCCGCGGGCTGGTTTCATCATACCGGAGCTGCGCCCACCCCATTGCCGGCAATGGCAAAAAAACTCCGATAACGTTGCGTGACATCATGTCGTGAGTTTGACATGTCTGCTATGTAGAATACACCAACATTTTATTTGAGGATTTCCAATAAATTTATCTCTAGCCTAGAATTTCTGCTTGGTTGAAACTTTTTGCACTGTCTTTTTATCTGATACTTTTATTATAATATGTATTGCTTTATACTATACTGCATATTTTCTCTTTCCTTTCTCTAGAGTTGCTTGACTGAATCTTTTGTTCAAAATTCTTTTCAAAATAGGCATTTATAACATATTTGTGCCAACACTTTCAACATTTCAAGGCAATGTGTGATTTGGTCAAGCATATAGTGTATGTTCTTTGGTTATTTCATGCTATCTCGTGATTTTATTTATGCTACACAGCACTTTTTTGTAAATTGATCTGTCCATACTGTGCCTCTGTGGAAATTGTCTTTTTTCAAGAGTGTCATTCCTACATCTTTGTAAAATAGGGTTTGAAAACTCATACACATTTTCACATTTACTTTCTCTGACCTTATTTACCAGGTTGTTTTTATCAGTGAATCTTTAAAAAGAATCCATATACACTCCTCAAAAAAATAATAATATACTTCAATATCAATTAATGTTAATAATAATTAATTAAGCATGTTAATTGGTGCTTCCAAAATGCCCATGATATTTGTAGAACTGCTGTTAAATTAAATTTCATCTAATTGAAGAAAATAAAAGATCCAACATTCAGTTATTCAAATTTCATACCACTGTCAGGGTACATCTGTATGCTGTTTTTTAAGAACTGGATTTGCTCATAAAAAATTCAGTTCCCTGCAGTTTTCATTTGCAACTAATTTCAGAACAGGCTCAATCTGCTCGAACAAAACCTTCTTTCTGATTTTGCCCCTGGAATATCATAGCAATATTTGAATAAACTCTTTATCAAGCCATTTGTTCACAGTAATACACAAGTGAATATAGACACAGATGGGATTGTAAATGGGAGAAAACTGTAAATGTGCCCTGCTAGCAGCTGCTGATATCTCTCTAGAAATATCCATTCAGGACAGTTATTTCCCAGGACTTGGTGAGAATGAACACTCCCCCCCAAATAATAATCATCTCCAGAATCTCCAAAAAAAGGGAGTGGTGTTGTTTACTGATTCATACTTGTCAAAAGGTTTTTATAAAATATTTCTGTGTTCTTTTTTAAAAAACTTTCATTGGCTTGATCTTTATGTGGATGACAAAGATTTGTATAGATGTAGTGGCACAGTAGTTAGAATGCAGTATTGCAGGCCGACTCTGTATTCTCACTGCCAGGAGTTTGATCCTGATCAGTCTGAGGTTGACTCAGTCTTCCATCCTTCTGAGGTCAGTAAAATGAGGACTCAGATTGTTGGGGGCAATATGCTGTAAACCACTCAGAGAGGGATGTAAAGCATTATGAAATGGTGTGTAAGTCGAAGTGCTATTGCTATACATTCTGCTAGAGATCTAAAGAAAATCAGTGTTGTTTAAAGTATGTCAGGGAAGGCCATAACAGTTCCATGAAGGATTGAGAATGCCCTCAGAGATCTCTCAAATATCACATTTTTAATGTGACAAGAAGAGGGAATTAACAAATTCAGAACAGGATGGTAATCATCCCTATATAATAATGAAGCTTGAATCATTTTTTTCTAGCCCCCTTTCTATATCATTTAAGTGCAACTTGACAGACCTTTCAAGGCCTCAGAGATAGGCCTTGAAAGTTGCTTGCTGCTGCTTCATGACAGGGTATGGAGCTACACATTTACCATCCCCTTTTTAGATGCAGTGTCTTCTCTCTCTCCATGTTAGGCCTATTCAGGATAGCCCTGCTTATCGGGCTCTTTACACTATAGAGTCTTCACTGTTTGCTTCCTTGTAAGGATGCAGTTGGTTTAATTGAGGTCGTGATGTGTTGATATAATAGTCAACATGACCAGGGACCATTAAGGAACTGCCAAGTGCAAGAGAAGCTTCAGAAACAAAAGAGAAGTAGCTTGCTCCTTTTTGCCCTGTTTTTTAGAAGCAGGAGGATCATGTTATTTTGTGAATCAACTTTTAAAAGTCGCTTTGCTTTGTTGAAATAAAACCCTAACCCTTCAAAATTGTGCATGTTGTAAGCATTTATGCCTCAAGTGCAATAGATCAACCTACCTGTTGAAATCTAGATTCTATAGACTTGAAATCAGTCAGGGTAATGTATTTCAGTAGATGATGCCTCGATGTCTAAGAAAAGGAATTTTTATAAGCTAGTGCTATTTTTCTCTTTAAGTTCTCCATTTTCCTTTAGTTAATTAAACTGTGATTTATCAATGATTATAATATTGCCTCGGGATAAAACAAAATTAGCACATTATTATGCATAATGTAGCAGCCTAGTTGTGGCAAGGATAATTTGCTAATTTTATTGACTAATGATGGTGGATAAATTCTTAAACATAATCTCCTAATGTGCACCAGGAAACTGATTTGCTAAAACTATATTGCATAAAACAGAAATATAAATGTGTTTGCGTGGGGGTGCATGCACTTGTCTGTGTATCTGTGTGTACACATAGTAGTCATGCTGGGATTGTGATCAGTGGTGGGATTCAAATATGTGAACAACCTATGTGGTTGTTCTGTGTGGATGCCACTTCCGGAAGTCCATTCTGGGCCTGGGCAACAAAAAATTAGCTACCAGTTCTGCTGAAGTAGTGCGAACTGGCTGAATCCTACCACTGATGGTGATACAGGAAATATTTTCATCTCCAGTTATAGCCCCCAATCTTCATGAAATTAGACCATAGTTGTTATAAAAGTTTTATACCCTAATCTTTCAGTTTTAAGGATACCACTATAAGAAATAAGGGAATATTTTCACAATGCAATGAACAAATAATAATTATTCTAGTTGTTATTTTTGAAATTTCAATATTTTTTGAAAATTAAAATACGACATTGGTTCCTGACATGACTTTGCTTTATTTGTTGTTTAAAAGATTAAGCATTGACTGTTATTAGACTTGCCATCCAACTGACAAAACAGTTGATCCTGTCATTCCTAACATTTTTTTTTCCTTCAAATTGTGGTGAAGTTACAATCCTATTAGCAATTAATCTGCTGAGGAGGAGCACAAATGATTTTACTTTTTTCATGGAAACTCTTCTGAGATGACAAAACACATCATGCATGCCTCCCATACTTATATGCTAGTAGGCAGGCATGCACACATAGAGATCCTGACATATATGTGCATATAGTGTGGCACAATTCTTCATGCCACACTTGAATATAATAAAACATTTAGAGTTCTCTATGAGCAGTTTTCCCATAATAGATGAAACTGACTTCCCTTGAACTTTCAGGTTTGCTTTACGCAAAACTGATAACAACTTTTTTTGCCTATAAAATAAGTACATCTGTGCATTAATAGTGTCTGGCATTCTGACCAACCATGAGTAGAAGGTGAAAATCGAGACAGAATTTTGTATTATAAAGCATAATGCAATCTTTTTTCTTTGGGGGAGAAGAACATAAA